ACTGAAAATGTAAAATAAGATTTACCGTGAAGTCGATCGATATTATTATCATGATCTCCCTGCTAAACACATACCTTGGTATCGACTTCAAGTATATCAGGCGGTAAATCTATTTTTTTTAAGTCGGTTTTATTTTTATTAAAAATTATTTCATTTTCCCATTTTTAGTGTTACACAGAATACGCTACTAGTTTAAGTCGGTCTTTAACGTGCAGCCGGAACAGCAGCAATATAAAAATAGAATAAACTATAAGTATAAATAAATGTTTCTTAATACGTTAGTTAAGTTAATTTGTGTTTATAAATACAAAATGAATTGTTTATTTGTCATCTTAACCCTAAAATAATTAAAATAATATGATGAAATTAAAAAAAAATACACAGCAAGTATGGTAAATCATATGCTGAATTGTGAAACTAAAGACTGTGTAAATAATAAGAGTCAGTTAACGAAAAAACGTGTTGAAAAAATGTTACTAAAAATAATATCAGAATATCAAAGGAATAAAAGGTAGATTACAAAGATAAACGTTGAATAATATAAAACTAGGTTAACTTTAATTGCAATTTTAATAGTAAGTTTAAATAACATAGGTTCAATAATAAAATACACTAACAATAAATTAACATTATTAATAAAAATCTGAACCATAGGGACTTGATTCTTGTATACGCGGCAACACCTGAATGACGTTTAGGGTTCATGTTATTTTATGTTGAAATTTCGAAATTTTACTATACTTATTGATGTTAAGTGATCCCAGCGTCCTTGTTATTTATTGTTGTATTATTTCAATACATAAACTGGCATTTTACTTTCGATTAACACCAAATTTTAATAAAATATTCACTACGTACACCCCATACACAACTGTCAAGTTGACTGGCTCGGTGAAAGCTCGGGTATGCCGATTTCGGCATAGTATTTGTTACCGCATATTAGACAAGTACGCCGGCGGCATCTAGTCGAGTGAAGCGAAACCAATCATTCATCTATGATGTAGAACACATACATTTTCAAGAGTCTGTACCCCTAGCACGAACCATTATCGAATTCGAATAGTTTGCGAGTGTGAAATGTCAATGTCAAATTTTGTATGGAAACTTATACAGCAGCACCACAAAGTACGTAACGAGAACTAAAAATCAGTACATTGTCAAATACAATGACATTTCGATCTCGAAAACTATTTGAATTCGATATTGGTTCGTGCTAAGGGTACTGTTCTTTTTTTGTGTTTTTCATTTTGGTTAAAAACCGGGTTCTCTTAATACATTTTTACAAAGGGAATCTAAATACGGAAAGATATCTAGAAATACTTAATATTTTAAGAGGTGAGATCAATAAATCTTCCTGATGCAAATCGACGAAATCTCATTTTCCAGCAAAATGTGACAAATAACAGTGTAGGAGAACTGCCGAGTTTCTTAATGAACACTTTCCTTCCTGGATCGGTTCTAATGGACAAATAAGATGGCCAGCGAGATCCCCAGATCTAACCCCACTGGACTTTTTTTGTGGGGTTATGTAACAGATGTAGTATATAAGAACCGGTAAGACAGTGTGCAGGAGTTACAAAATAACTCAGACGTATTATTACAAACATTCACCACGCAAAGATGACAGTGTGCAGGAGTTACAAAATAACTCAGACGTATTATTACAAACATTCACCACGCAAAGATAATGAAATCGACAGGCAGAGAAAACATTAATAGAGTGAGAATTCGCATACAACAAATTGGATCACATTTTGAACACTTGATACATTTCGTTTTTTATTACTTTTTGTTGAATATTTTCAATAAAATGTGTAATTTTATGACTTTTCTTTCATTTAAAATGCTATGTTATTTAGCAAAAAATAATTATTTCGATGGTTATCATAAAACATGTAGTGTTTTTTTTTTTCGAAATTTCACGAGTTTGATTCCCCGTTTAAGCAGGCGATTCTAAAAAAATCTGTGAATGCAGTTCTAGTTATAATTAAAAATAAAATGATGTCTTCTTTCGGTAAAATATCCTATTTTCAATATTTAATATACTTTCCCTCCGTGTGAGGTACCCGTGGGACGCCCTGTATAAGTTTATTTATATAGAAATACATATTAAACATCCATGAGTACAAATGCTCGTATTCATCACACAAACATCTGCCCCCACCGGGATTCGAACCCGGGACCTCTCGAGTCGGCGACCTACCTACCCGGCGTACAAACCACTCGGCCACGGAGGTCGTCTGTATTATAAAACCCCGCCAAGTGTAAGCCAAACTAATTATTCTTATGAAGAACAAATTAACACGAGTGTTCGTTTTGAACAAATTTTACTTCTTATTTATCATCCTTAGAGCGTATCTCTAAGTTATGATCTCTTAGAGACGAGAATGACTTTGAGACTGTAAATAACTCATCCTCGTCTTGATCGCCTCACAATTTTCAGAAGCTGTGTTAACTGAGCCGTAAGCACTTAGCGTAAGTAGGGACACGAAAAAAATATCGATACTTTGTGGTATCGAGTACTTTTCCTTTCGATACTGATACTTTTGTACTCGATACTTGGTTTTGGATACTTCAACTAAATGAGTACTTTTTGGCAAGTATCGATACCTTTAAAATTTTGGATAAGCTCCTTATATTGATGGCAACGCCATCTAGTGGAATCAAAGCAAACCTTCTTAAACATTCCATTGCGTTGATATAATTGGAAGCACAAGCAATCTAGTGTGTCTCCTGAGACTTACGTACTTGAATTACGCACGTTTAGTTTTGCAGTTGATTATATTAACATTACACAATTTCAAGAGTATCTACATAATATAGAAATTTGTGAATTCACATGTCCTTTTTTGTTTTCGATTATACGTACTATAATAAAATTTGATTGTTTTTCTTTTAATTTTAACCCGGGGGGAGGGGGGGGGGTTTGCTCATAACGCCCTATGAAATGACCTCGATACTTCGAAGTATCGATACTTTTGTTTCAATACTTTTACGAGTACGATACTTTTTTTCCGATACTACTCATGAGTACAGTCTCGATACTTTCTATTCGATATCGTGTCCCTAAGCGTAAGCAGTACTCCTATGGGATTAATGAGAATACCTATGTCGATATAATCTTATTAAACCTGTTTACCTAGTACAAGGCCAGAGTTAATTTTAGGAAACCAAGGTACCAATTTACAAATAGTCGAGACATTAATAGGTATCAATAAGTAGGTAGTTAAAGTTGGATTAAATTACTGTGACATTGTCAAAATCGTGCTTATTACACGAAATTAATGAGCAATCAATCCAGTTTATTGTAGTTTCAAACATTTTCACTTTGTGGTAATCAGATGATTGATTAAACTTAATATTGGTTTGACTTAACAATATTAATTTAATTTATTTGCCAAAATACAGTTCACAAGTTGATACATTTTATAGAAGTACATGAATTCTACCTGCAAGCAGGTGTGCAAATATTGCAGTCAGCTATTTTGTCATCTGTCATATATTCCTTATTACTATAATAGCATTTTGCTTGTAACCTTTCTGTCAACTTACTTTTAAACATTGTTCCAGTTTCTAATTTTATATTGTCGGGTAATTTATTATATATACTTACATATTAACATGTTATAAGCATTAACTCTATAAATATATGCGTGAAAGGAGGCTGATTTAATAAGTTTCAATATTGACATCTCGTGTGTCTATTGCTCTTTTCTACGCGCTTCTCGAAATACTTGATGTGATCCCTGACAAAGAAACATGCTTCTTTAATGTAAATGCAGGGCAATAGATGTATTTAAAAAAAATAGGGGTTTGCAGCTTTCAAGAAACCAAGCAACATCTGACATTCTAATGCATTTTTTTGTATCCTAAAAACCCTATCGATGTCTACTGAGTTACCCCATAAGAGCAGCCCATAATTTAAGGCGGATGAAACATATCCGTGGTAAACCATTCGCGCAGGCTCTGTAGATACTGTTTGTCTCAATCTTTTTAAGGCAAAAATAATTTTTTCTATTTTCGAACAGACAGAGTTGATATGACATTTCCAGTTTAAATTCTTATCAACAATTTTTACCAAGAAATTTAAAAGATTCAACTCTTTCAATAAGAACCCTATTATGACTTAGTTTAACAGACAGAGGTTGAAGAATGAAATTGCATGATTTTAGTTTTTTGCATCTTGATATTAAGTTGGTTTGGCCAGGTTTTAGCCTCGGACAGTGCTTTATTAATTTTAGTCTCAGCTATCTCTTTATTGTCACTTCTTACAGCTAAAGTGCTATCGTCAGCAAAAAGTACGCACTCATTGCTTATCATTCTAGGAAAATCGTTAATGAATAATTTAAATAATGGTGGACCAATAATACTGCCCTGCGGCACACCCCTTTCATTCAACAATATTTCCGACCTGAAATTCTTCTTATAAATTTTGTTATTTGATTCTTTAACGACTTTTTACAGAAAGTACAATACGTTTCAGTGTATTGCATTCTGCCTATTATATAACTATGAATCCAGTCATATGCTTTACCTCTAATGCCATATAATATGCCATATATACAAAGTAATAAAGTTTCAAAATGTGAAACCTGAATTTTTCGTGCCAGACTGCGTAGTAAGAACGACAGAAACGCAAGGAATGAGACAGCCTTGATGTTTTTGGCGAACACCCCGTTTCAAGGTGTTGTTTACTAGTTAGTGGGTCCATGGTTCGAATGCCGGTGGGGGCAGATGTTTATATGATGAAACGAGCATTTGTACGTAAATCATGTATGTTTATATGTATTTCTTACCCAACATAAAAATATACTTATATATGTATCAGTATATGTATTCTATCCATTACCCTAGTATCCCATAACACAAGCCTTGCTGTATTTAGTTTGGGGCTAGGCTAATTAGTGTGAGAGTTGGAAATATTATTATTATTTTATACTCACAGTGTTGGCAATATTTATTATTATTTATTGAAATTGTTGTTTTATCATTTGTTGCAGTTGGAGAATGTGCAGATGCAGGACAAATACAACTTGAGGAATCCCTCCAAAGGCACGCTGTATTTCGCAACGACACATCTGATATTCGTGGACCATGAGATGAGAAAAGAAACATGGGTATGAAAAACATGTTCCTATACTAAAACTTACTTCTTCGTACGAGTTTTATTGTATAATTTTAGGAAAATTGTCTTTAGTAATTCCGTTCCTCATTTCCATAACATGCAGTGTTTGACTATTTTGAATGTAGAAAAAACTAAAGCGATCTTTATTTATTTTTATCTGATTTCTTTGAACCATTGTTGAAACGATAGAACTTATTTTTCCATTAGAATTCTGCTTTAGATCTGCACTGCATTATAGGTGAAAAACATTACCTATATTTATATATGCATGCGAAATATACATCCCGACAAACTTCTTGAGCAGAAATCATGGACAATGAAAATGAAGTAGCAATTTCACATGCGAAACTACGCTAGTTTATGTCTGTAGTTTTGATCAAGAAGTTTGTTGAAGAACCAATGTTTCATAGAATGATGAGGGTGTCTGGTGAATGCACCCTCATCATTCTATGAAACAGAGCCACGAAACCAACCACACATGATGATGTGTGGTTGGTTTCGTGGCTCTGTTTAAGTTCGGGGGGAGGGGGGGAACAGTATTTTACTGGGCTCTGCACAAATAAAAAAGTTATGTGATCTCCTTAGGTAAAATAATGTTGCAAGCTTTTATGTTCTATAGCATTAAAAGGGTCTTATCGTCATAAAGTCTAAAAACGTTTCTCCTAAAACGTCTATGTTTAGAAACCGTGATAAATTGTGCCAAGTCACGCGAAGTACATTTGCGGAGACAAGGGTAGATGGATAAACTACCGTTAGGTGTCGCTGCTGCTTACGTGGGAGAATTTTATTTATTTAGGAATTCTTAATTTACGTTGCGTCGAGACTTTAAAAGATATAGAACAAGAAGAAGAATATCCTGAATTGGGTGCGCAGAAATCATCTGTAAGTACCAGCTACTTTCTTTTAGGTGCAAACACTACAAGTTTTTAAAGAGATACAGTCCATGTTTTGATGTCATACATTGACGAAATGACGACACTATTTGAAATAAAACAGGAAGAAAAAAATAGCCCTTACTGAGCTTCTTGCCGGTCCTTCTGATTCCAAGGTCTCCGATGGCATAGAGTTAACAAGTTTATTCCGTTTAGGCTTTAGGGCGTCTAACCTCTTGTGAACAGCTAGGACTGAATAAATAATTTAAATTAAAAAAAAAGGACTGGGTCGTTACGAATATTGATGTATGCAGTGGACAAGCAACCCGACACCATTCCTACATATGTGTATGATATAGGTATAGGTATACTCCTACGACTGGGAACATGAATGAGGGTGGAGTATAGTATTTAGTACCTTACTGGCATAATGGCCAGTAAGCTAAAACCCAGACCCCTCAGACTACCCTAAACCACGCAAGCAGCTTTGGAATTCTATTGCCTAAGCTAAGTAAGATGCTTTATAATTTAATAATACAAACCCGAAACCAAACACTATTTAGTCTGCACCGAAACTCCGAAACTAAGCAAGGGCGGTTCACTTAAAATAATATAGTGAAATATAATATGTAAAGCTAAACCACTGCTGAATATGGCTTCGTTTACGTTGAAACTATGGAAATGAACGAGCTTTATACAGAAATGTAATTGTTTTTTTGTCTCTTGGTTTTACTCCTTTGATGCTCTACCTAATCCATGAGGCATAGAGAGAGTAATCACTCCAGGGGATATAGGGGGGGGGGGGGGGGCATGCCACAACCTTGCTTGCCCGCCCTTAAATACGGCCCTGAATGATTTTATTGTATAGTATGTAGGTATGTATGGATATTGGATATAGAAGAAATATTTTTAGGATCGGAATAAAATTTGATCGAGTCCCTTGATACTGGTTTCCATATAAATAGGCTTGTGAAATAAATATACCTAGTTGGATTCATTAATGAAGTGGTACATAATAACGCAAAAATGATATTATACAGTGATTGCTACAGAACTCTTATCTCCTATAAGGGATCAATATCTTTAATAGAGTTTTATCGAGATTTCATTGTACGCATCAGAAGATTTGCTACAATAATTCATTCTACCGGGTATGTACCGTGTTTCCATACACTAGGAATATATGTGCAAAGGATGCTTGTTCCACAATGATAATATACAAAAATATTTTGTTAAGTACTTATAGAATTAATAAACAGAAATAGGCACAAAGCTTAATGATAATAATAAATAAATAGGGCTTTGTTTTTTCCATGAAGTCGTAGCACAGATATCAACTCCGGAAGGGATCGTCAACGCGTCAACTATTTAAATCAAGCCCTTCAGTATACTTTGTTTGAAACTCCCTACTGCAACACACACTAATCGGAATCGTAATCGCTTCGCCTCGGACAAGCTCGTGTCCTAAGGAGAGGCGATTACGTTGTTAACGTTACGATTCCGAAAAGTGTGTGGTTGATTTCGTACAAAGAATACTAAGTCCCAAGCACGAAAGACAGTTCCGTAGTCGTATAGCATCGTCAGTTTCTATGAAAACTAAGCAGCGCTCTTACCGGACGTAAGAAAAAACTGGCTTCTTTCATACAAAATTTGACCATGACGATACGATTACGGAGGAGATTAGAGGAGCTCGATGGCGCGGGCGGTTAGCGCGTTCGGCTGCGATCGTTGATGTTAAGCAACTTTGGCAATGGTCGGTCATTGGATGGGTGACCAAAAATCTTCTTTCTGGAGTTCCTTCGTGCTTCGGAAGGCACGTTAAGCTTCTTGGTCCCGGCTGCATCTGCAGTCGTTAGCACCCGCCACTACGCACTGGGCCCGCGTGGTGGTTCATGGCGCAATCTCCCTGTTCCATCCATAGGGAAGGCCTGTGCCCCAGCAGTGGGGACATTAATAGGCTGATGATGATGGTACGATTACGGAGCTGCGTCAAAGTTCGTGCTTGGGCCTTTGATCGGCTCAAGTTGATACGGTGTACGGTGTCGATGCCTTTCCGAGTTCATATGTCTGCTAACATAGATAAATGAAAGACCAACCATTCATCTATGTCTGCTACAACGGCCATTATTTTAATTAGAATATAATTTTTAAAAACAAAACCGAGCACAAGCCGAGTTATGTTGTAGCTACGAAAGTTTATTTATACCCGCATAAAGCCCTTGGGTCGTTCTATAATTTATACCCGCAGCTCGGGAGGATCGACCCCCGTTTAATTTGATACAGACAATTTGCCACTTGTCCGGCTGTTGCTTTGAAACAAATGCTCACGAATAACTCTGTACGACACAATTTTTTGCGGCATCCATAGTAACTTTTTTCTGTGAGGAAACGGATTGGAAAGTTCGTTAGGTTTTTTTTATATAGATTAGCTTCCCTGTCTCACTCACTCACTTTTTGTTTTCCTTCTCACTTGTTAATACTGATTCTTAGGGAACTTTGAAAGTATGTAAATTGATAACCTATAGATATAATTATAATAATTTAATACTAAACTGATATCTCTGAAATGGTGCTGAAATCAAAATATATTAGGTATCAGAGTTAATTTGATAGATATTGTGATATTTAATAAAATGTGGAAATATTCTACTTCTGAAGTCTAAATTGTCCCTTTTTTTTCACGTTAGATTTGTTTACTTAGTATAAAGCAATGTCTTACTGCCGTCCGTACGTTCAGGTTTTTTAAAACACGCAACGGGATCTAATTTTAATACGTACTGTTTTCAGTAATAAATACAGTGATATATGAGTTGTATATGTATAATAGGTAGATGCCCGAGAAAAAAAACTATTCTAGCCAGAGTGGGTCACAATGGGGTCACTACACTAGTGATATATATCTTTTTTACGAAGACAGCCTAGTAAAACGTAGCTTCTAATAAAAAGGGTCTTCATAACAATATAGAACTTTATAATCCCTTAAAAAGTGATTTATTAAGACCCATTTCGGACGTCATGCATTTTGTGCGTTATATATAAATTGTTGTTCTACTTCAACTTTAAGAGCTTAATCATTCTCGTTACAGACTACAAACTGGTGTAGCAATTTCTGTTTAGTGTAAGTTAATATAACAGACATAATGCACAAAAGTCTATGGTATGTAAAGAAATAAATGTGCGCTAAAAGCAATAACGAGGAGCTCGATGGCTCAAGTGGTTAGCGCATTCGGTTTCCGATCGTGTAAACAATTTTCGAAATAGCCGGTCATTGGATGGGTAACCATAAACTGGACCGTCTGGAGCTCCTCCGTGCTCCGGAAGGCACGTTAAGTCGTTGGAACCGGCTGCATCTGCAGTAAGGACCACCATCTGCCTTGCCATCCAAAGGGAAGGCCTGTGTCTCGCCAGTGGGGACATTAATAGCCTGATGATGATGAAAATGAATAATCGAGACTATAATATCTTTTCTCCAGATACTCCTAATGCACATATCATCAGTGGAGCGGCTGCCGATCACTACGACCGGGTCACCACTGCTTGTGCGCACCAAAACTTTCCAGTCGGTCTTCTTCGTCATACCACGAGAAAGGGATTGCCATGAGATGCACCAAACACTTCTGCGCCTGAGCCAACCAGGTAAAGGCTTCCGTGCAAGGATGTCAGGAGAGTAGGACGAAAGCATGATGATACTGAAGCTTAAGTGGACACCATATCCCCCAAAACTTTGCAAAACATCTTAACTATCGCTCCCAAGTTGTTCTATATCTAGGGCTGCCATCCGTCCGGGTTTCCCCGGACTTGTCCTAGTTTACAGGGCGTCCGGGGAGCGTCCGGGCGGGGTTTCATTTGTAGTCCGGGTTTATAATTTTTCTGTTTTTGATCGCCAAGTGATCCGTCAATGTGTCTTTGAAAATAAATAAATCTATTCTAACACTGTAACCGTAAATGCTGACTTCCTACAAAGATCAGTACCCCTAGCACGAACCGTTTGCAAACACGAAATGTCATTGTCAAATGTGTACTGATTCTTAGTTCTCGTTACGTCCGTTATGGTACTGCTGATCAAGTTTTCATACAAAATTTGACAATGACATTTCGGACACGCAAACTATTCGAATTCGATATTTTTTACACTGGTCGGTCAAATATCCCTTGGATGGAAGTAGAAGGGTGTAAAGACAGACTTGTGTCCGAGATTGAGATGTTACTGGATCAAGTCTTAAATTGGAGCCAACAAAATTAGATTGGATTAACCCAGCAAAGACACATGTGTGTGTGAAAAAGCTTGGGTGCTCATAGATATAGTAAGAACCTCAAGCCTAAATATCGGGTGTTATTATACAAAGTACTGGTCCTCTGGGCTGGAGCACCACAATACCAGCTCCTTCCTCTTGACCGGATGCAAAAGCGGGCAGTTTGACTTATCGATGATCCTGAGCTCACTCACGCGTTGCAACCCCTTAACTACGCAGACGGTACAACACGCACAAGGACGCAACTCCTTGTACGTGTTGTACCGTCTATACAATGAAGAGTGTTCCGAGGAATTATTCAACCGGATGCCAGTGGCCAAGCTTCTTCACAGCATCACACACCGCAGAGAAGTTTCACGCCCACCATCTGGACGCCTGGCGTTCGAGCACCATGTGTTCCTTTCTTTTGCGTACCAGCAAGATCTGGAACGAACATCCCGGTGGGGGCAGATGTTTGTGTGATGAATATGAGCATTTGTACTCCAGTCGTGGATGTTTAATATGTATATATAAATATACGTATATATGTACAGTATATGTATTCTATCCGTTACCCTAGCATCCCATAACACAAGCCTTACAGTGCTTACTTTGGCTAGGCTAATTGGTGTGAGTGTTGGAAATATTTATTATTATTATTTGTGACATTTTTAACTGCTTTTTTTTGGTCCGGGTTTTGGGCTCCAAAATCCGGGGTTATCACTCGTCTTGTCCTGGTTGCCACATTTTAGAGATGGCAGCCCTATCTATATCTATTTATCTGACAGCATTATATCATGTTATTTCATTTTTCTATGCACTGCGATTCAATCAAAACACATTTATCTTTTGAATAAAAATCACTCTAATATTATAAAGGCGATAGTTTGTGAGTGTGTATATTTGTTACTTCTTCACGTCTAAACGGCTGGAGCGATTAACACAAAGGCTACGTTTTACTGCGGGAAAATATCTCTAATAAACCGCAGGTAACACCGAGGGGCACAGTTAGTATAGGATGTATAGGAATAGTCCCGTCAAATTTAGTGATGTGCCGAGTCGGTTATTTTTGGTATTCGGGTATTTTAGTACTCGTTAAAGAAAGATTCGATTTAGGACTCGAGACGGAAGAATCGGACAGGTATTCGAGTACTAGCACGAGTATTCGAATACTTAACTGGTCTCGAGTATTTTTTTGAATCGGACCTTGTAATTTGCTTCATCATCATCATCAAAAATCATTATATGAATGATAGGAAAATATGTAAATAATAATTGATTAAATGTGTAAAAAGTCATTTATTGATATTATAATCATCTTTGATAATTAATAATGTGATGGCACGACATAATTATATAGAAACTAATCAACTTATTATTACTACGTAATACCTGTATGTAGGTTTTTATATTTTAACTAAAGCTCTTCAAACTTTAATAATAGCTAATTTGAAACTATATAAAAATAATCTTTGGTGAAAAGGAAGTAATGTTTTTTTTTTCCTTGATAAGAATAAATAACAATTATGTCCAAATCAAACAAATTAAAATAGGTAATTACTTATAAGAAACAAATATGTAATTAAACTTTTGTTAACATCTCATTAAACTGATCGGCCGAGTAGGAAACATAAACACGTTCAAACCTGCACCGACTCATCAACACTTCACGTTACTAACTTCACTGTACGAGTACAACGACTGAGTATTCGAATACCGTAAGTACTCGAAACCTGTACTCGAGTACTGTGGATCCGAATACAATATTTCGAGTACTCGAGTACGTGAGTACCTGCTAGGTATTCGAGTCAGCCTGACTCAGCACATCTCTATCTCTAGTCAAATTAATACTTCAGACTATGCGTCAAGTTCGGTAGTTCTTAATTTTTACAGACTTATTTTATGATGATGGCCAATGAATAAACCAAGTTTGTGATTTCGAACACCAAACGCAAGTAGGTCAAATATACCGAGATTTTATTAGATTCCCAATGAATCTTCGCCCAATGTGAACATCATAAATTATTCTGCAAAAATCAGAACTACCAGATTTGACCTAAATTGACCCATACATTCAAATGGCTATTTTCCTGGACTTGTAAATAAGATAAGATTATAATATTAATATGATAGATGAAAACAATGATTTCTATTGCACAGAACATGAAAACACACTCCCAGTGGTAATGCTATCGTTCAAGTTTTTATAACTTTTGGGACGTTTTTAAGTACTTACTTTGATTCCCAGAACTGCCCGGGTTCAGGTTCGACCAAACATTGCTCGTTCTTTTTTATGTACCAATGCGTTTTACAGGAATGATAACAACTTTAACTAAAAGAAAAGTATCTATAGATTAAAAAATAGAGTCGTGTGAGCCGTTTGTATTCACGCCATATCCCGGGCGGTCTTTCTTAAATACGATAAAATAATTTATTATGCAGAATTGCTCCGACCAATTACAGTATTTTGTCTTATTTAATTTTTTAAGTACGGTGCTCTTTCTAAAAAGCACACATTTTTCTAATTTGATTTTATTTTCTTTAAAATTCAAACTTTTTAATGATACCAAAACCAGCCAGATACAAATGCTATAGCCAAAGAGAATTTATTACAAGTTCATACATACCTACATAATGCGAAAATACTTTTCCCCAACCTATTAATATGAAACTAAAGACTAAATGTTTTTTTTTCAGTACATATTGACGAGTTGTACTGTTTCCACTATAAACAAACTCCAGACGACTTACCCAAGTCAGCCGGATGGAATTTTTTCGATATACAAACGGAATTCCAGAGGATGAATGTGCCAAATGAACAGTGGGTACTTTGCACAGCTAATAAGGATTATGAGGTTGAGTACTTAATTATTTATTTCATTATGAATATATGTACCTATACTTCCATTCCAAGTCATTCTTCATAACCGTAGTGTAGAAGAAAAACTTCCACGTAACAGTCGAAAGAATGACAATGGTATCGATTCTAGCATGCTTCTCTTATTCTCTAAACCTTTAACTCAATTTAACACCGGCCTCTTCTTTTTATTCTGTATAGAGAATGACAAGGATACACCGTTGTCAAATAATAATTTTAGGTTTAGACAATCATGCCAGAATTGTGCGCTCTTGAACAGCAGATATTTAAAATTCTACTGAATGTAACCATAAACTGTCTATTTTGTGGTGTAACGCTCTGTCAATAATCAATTGTTTGTACCCCCTAACGTGGCTGGCTGTGCTGTTGCGCAAATGAACATATAACTTCATCGCTATTAACTTTTTAAGGTATAATTGTCTATGAAATCACGTCAAGTCAATGTTATTTTGAACAAAGAAATTTTGTTATATTGATTTAATCCAATTTAATAAAATAACAAACTATTATTGCGAAAAGTCCATAATTGTAAACTTTCGATAAAACAAAATAAATTTTTGCATTTGTTGTTTGTATGGCAAATATGGGCCGTCATCTCAGGGATTACCTATATATAAAGTCCCAAAAGCTCCATTGAAAGCAAGACTATAATGGTTTTACGTAAAATTCATAGTCACTATGACTGCTTAATTATTCTAATAGCTCCTTATGTAGAGCAACCGAGAACTTGCTGTTAATGAAGATTAATTGATAATAAGCCAATTTGTTAGAGCACAGCTGTTCTCAAGGGTGTTCCTCAAGGTACTATCTTTAGACCGCCATTATAGAAGTTTTTACTTTTCAGCTATGTGATACTTATCCCAGTGAGATATATGTACCAGCAAAAGCTTCTACTGCTATCTTACTGGGCAGTGCGAGCTTCAGATCTCGAGGGCGTCTTCCGGCCTTAGCATATCTGCACCACAATAAAGCTGCAATAGCAAGATGCAGCCAGCCATTAAGCGGATTTTCTGCCAGGTAACATCAATTTTTACTTCACTAGATTCTATCAGTTTTTTTTATACCATCATAAATTAAGGGTTTTTTTTTATTTTGCTCAAAGATAACACTTTATTGACATTCCTTTTGTATTCTTTTCCTTTAGATGTATGGAAGATGAACAAATGCTCGACCTCATAAGGAGGGCCAACCCCAACTGTGGATATATGTACGTCGTCGACACACGCCCAAGGGTGAGCTAAATGTGACTTTATTTGTATGCAAATAAGTACCTTTCTATAAGGACAAAGTGTCTTGGACAGAGAGCATCCCCACTAGAGTCTGCATTACTAAGTTTTTGTTTAATATTGAAAACGCAGTTGCCAACATGCTGGGAGGGTATGTCGCGTTTTGATGATTAGGCACGTCAGTGTGACTTCACTATCGGATGTCAAATATGGTGAAACGATGTATCGCGGTTCTTCGACGCAAACGTCGCAAAGGGGCGTGCCACACACTTATGTAGTATTGCCGCATAAGCTTGGCACAAGCGGGTGCGTTTATATGCGGTCTCTAGTAAAGATGCTCTGTGGTCGTAGGGCACGATTATCCTCTGGAATTAAAGAAATAACGATATTATTTGACGTGTTCTGTAAAGCTATAACGCTTTAGCGGCATTAGCTTCAGACCAGCAAAACGTATGCGAATGGCATGATTTTCTGAAGCTTTAGGTATCTTCTCAATTGGACTCCTTTGATTAATATCACGTGAGGAACACGCTGGACCATTCGGAAGAATACCTGCATGAAATTCTGGTTATTACCTAATTGTAACCGAAAAATAAATAAAAATTAGTTGATGCATTCGTGCAATAGAAAAACTAACTGTAGCGTAAAGATGAACTCGCCAGATGTGGAGATGTCATCTCTGAGATCACGGCTTCGATTATATCTACTGTGTCTGTTACAATCACAACACTTATTTATTTATTTTTTATATTGTCTGGTAGACAAATGACTTTACCCCACTTGATGTTAAGTGGTGATAAAGTCCAAACGCGAAGATAGCTGCTACAGCAGTTACAAACTGCCACTCTGACCATCCTCACCTTAACGGTCTGCAAAAATGCTTCTTCACGGCTCTCTGATTGTAGGAAGGAGGGGAACACATGCGCGGACTAAGAATTCCACTTACGAATAGTACGACAAAGAAATGAGTCTCCTAATTTATTTGTTCGTGTCGAAATAGTGGCCACAGTAAGTCGGTAGCAACGTTGGCCAGTAAAGTTTAATACTGCTTCTCTCGGACTTCGATGGTTGAAGATCCGAGCCATCAATGTTTATTTTATAATGCGATACTCCAAGTGCTTGCTACTTACCTCGAGATACGAGCATTATACATATAGGCGACTGTGACCACTTAACATCAGGTGTCCCGTCCTAGATGGCAATAAAAAAAGTGATGTTTTCTAAGTTTTATATGTTTTCTTATTGTTTTAGATAAACGCTATGGTGAATCGTGCGGCTGGCAAAGGATATGAGAACGAAGCGTTCTATGAGAATATAAAATTCCAATTCTCAGGCATCGGCAACATACACGTCATGCGAAAGAGTCTTCAAAAACTCGTTGAAAGTGAGAAAATACTATTTTATATCTAAACGTCCTAGTAACCGTAGTAATTTGTATGTCGATATCGGCACGACATGTCATTTACTCGTAAAATTTCACTTATAGTAGCGGCATGCTATGATGGCCCATTGGACGTTTGTGCGTTCATGAAGTTTTATATTCTAAAGTCAAAGTTACTTCTACATTTGGAAAAAAAATAATTATTGTTCTTCATTGTCATTAGAGACGCGCATTTAGTCATAAAATTTATCGAATCGGTAATTTTAGGGCGTAGGATTTAAATTTTACAAAACTATATATAATCATGGTCTAACTTATAATAAGGTTAAGAAAACCATTTTAAGTTTAGAACAATTATTTATTTATTTATTTATACTTTATTGCAAAACAAACAGCAATTGGCGGACATAATGCCATAAGGCATTCTCTACCAGTCGACCAGTAAAAGCGTGAGAACTAAAAATACGGGGGTGCAATATGGACATATGCTAAATAAACCAGGTAGGTAATATATATATCAATAGAATACACAAATATTAAAATATATATACACTACATACATGTAAATATATATGCTATATCTACAATACATACATACACATAAATATGCCAGTCAAGTATGAGAACGCAGATTAATTATATTAAGATAATGCTCACGAACCAATCCCTTAAATACGAATTTGTTAGGAGCTTTACGTATATTAGGGGGCAAGTCATTCCAGAGTCGTACAGCCGTGATGGTGAAAGAATATGAGACGAAGCCAGAAGAGTGGACGGGAGTATGCAGAAGGAGGTTGTCCGTTGAACGGAGGACACGGTCATGAGAATCACACAGAAACCTAAATCTGCTTTTCAGGTAAGCTGGTGTATGTGGATCGTAAAGAAGATTAAAAAGAGCACAAACAACTCTTAGGTTCCTACGCTCACGAATAGGAAGCCATTTGAGTTGATGACGAAAATGTGAGATATGGTCGTATTTACGTAAGCCATATATGAAGCGAATGCAGTTATTGAGAAGACGATCCAACTTATTTAAAAGATTTTCATTAATATCTGGATAACATACGTCGGCATAATCGATAATAGGCAGAATTAAAGATTGAACAAGAGCAATCTTGGTGCGAATAGGCAGAAAAAACTTAAACCTGTATAGAGATCTCAAAGAATTGGTCACCCTATGCGAGACGAAATCGACATGGTCTATCCACGAAAGTTTGTCATCGATAATTAAACCCAAATCCATCACTTGAGTCGAAAAAGGGATAACAACTCCATCATAAGATAATGAATTAACCCTAGTAAGGTCAATTTGGGTCAGCAGACGAGAACTGCCAACAATGATAGCTTGACACTTAGTAGGATTTACTGAAATACCAAAAGAAGCTGACCAGTCATTGATCACACTGAGGTCGCGATTTAGACTAGCGACAGCCTCATTCAAATGATGGCTGTCACTGCTGGCGTACAGTTGTAAGTCGTCCGCATACAGATGGTAAGAAGAAGTTAGAAGTTCTGTGAGAGTATTTATGAAAAAAGAAAAGAGTGAAGGAGAAAGAATACCGCCTTGTGGAACACCAGCAGTCTGCTCGCGCCAACCGGATAACTCCTGGTCGAAACGAACAGCCTGCCAGCGATCTCGAAGATAAGAAGTAAACCACTTCTGCACTGAAGATGAGAATCCTAGTCGAGAAAGGAATATCATGATCGACAGCGTTAAAAGCGTTTGAAAAGTCAATTAAAACTAATAGTGTCAGACGAGCATTTTCTTGGCCATCCCGGACATCTTCAAGAACTTTGGTGAGAGCAGTAGTGGTACTATGGCCGGGACGGAAACCAGATTGAAAAGGGCAAAGAAGTTTATGAGAATTAATAAATGAAGTAAGTTGTTTGTGGACTGCGGCTTCAATGATCTTTGATAAGAATGGTAGAATAGAAATAGGCCTATAGTGACTAAGCAAAGTGGGACTTTTGTTTTTAGGTAGAGGGATAGTTAAGGCTTTACGCCAGAGATCAGGAAAAGATGCAGATGTAAGGGAGAAATTAAATATATAAGTCAAGACAGGAAGTACAGAATCTAGCACTGAAGTGATCATAGTTCGACTTATATTATCATAATTAAACATCATATCTTTTTTAACTTAAAAGTACCGGCCCTTTGACCGAATCCTGTATGATTTTCCCCAATTTTAAATAAGCCGTTTGTGCTTAAGTTTTAATTAAACGAGGCAACTAACATTAACAATAAAAAAGAAGTTCTTACACTAACAGACAGGCTTTAGCGATTTAAAATCGTGACAGTCATATTAACTTTATAGGATTTTTAATTGCTCTAACAGAAGATTTATTTTATTGATTAATTACCTGTGCTTTATGAAATAATATTCAAAGGTATTGTGTATCAGTGAATAAATAATTATAATATAGCATCTAAGACTATTTTATTTTAATGTTTTTTAATAGTGTGGATCAAAGCGGAGAGTAGGTAAGCGCCGAGTCATCTGCGCGTGTAGTAGGTACCTACACAGGCGGCTGCCGGTCGTCGCCCCGACCGGCGCTGATCTCGACTGGAGGCATAATGAAGGCATTCATTAAGTTTCCGTTTTTTTAGTAGTGCTTATTTTAAGTTGTTTTATAACTTCTATGTAGACGTGTTTAAAATGAATAATTACTCATAAGGAAGAAATGACAAAAAAATAACCAAATAAAAAATTAAAAAACGAAAAATTTTATTTTAAAAAATCCGAAAAAAATCAGGCATACTCTATACACGTAACCCAACAATCTCACTAAGTTTCATAGAAACATTCAATTTCACCCTGTATATTGCATTTTACGGGTGATTTTTCGAGTCTTATAAAATGATTATTAATGAACTAATTACAAAAATAAATACATATTTCAGTAGTTCAATGATGATAGATTACTTTTATGAACTAGCTGCGGTAGAACGATCAGTACAAAAAAAGGAAAATAGTATTTGCAAATATTCTACATTAACTTACAAATAAATCTACTGTTTACTTCTATTGGAAATAGTCAAAATCTTTCTAAGGAGGTAAACGAGGCGCTCAAAAATTACGTGTTTTTGCAAAAAATGTGAAAGGGCTCTTAAAGACGGCTTAGTCATTTGTCGTGGATGTAAGTTACCGTTTAGATATTCAGAACGAAATAAACTATAATCAATGGCTTGTAAATGTGTTTGATGAGAATTGTTCCAAAAAAATGTTTGTACTGTAGCCCTTAATAAATGCATATTATAATAATCGCGCTGATACAAATGTGTTCATCTTGGCAACTATCTCTAGCGCCTACACTACATATAAGATCGCTTAGCGTGATTAAAAATTTAGTTTTCGGGTTTTTCCATCTTCATAATCAGCAACAGTTTTGTTTGTTTTGCCAATGTACGTGATGATTACATAGGATTTTTTTCGATAACAGGTTGACTTTTCGCGTCACTATTGCAATGTGTCAAAACGGCCATCATTATCGTGCTGCAACTATAATATCTTTCGTTCACATGTCGGTACAAACAAAATGTCTCCCTTACTTTTTTATAATTTTTCATGATATAACTAAAGGAGTCGTGTTTGGTTTTCAGCTTGTGAACAGAATTCCCCGAGCATGTCTTCCTTCCTTGGCGGTTTGGAATCTTCGGGCTGGTTGAAACACATCAAGTAAGTTGAATTTTGTTCGTTGCATTACATACCAATAAACAAATCTTAAATAAATAAATATTTTCAACACTCACACCAATTAGCCTAGCCCCAAAGTAAGCACTGTAAGGCTTGTGTTACGGGATACTAGGGTAACCCATAGAATACTTATTATTTTGTACATATATAAGTATATTTATATAGAAATATATATTAAACATCCATGACTGTAGTACAAATGCTCGTATTAATCATCCCCTGACTTCTTGTATATAACTTGTCAAATGTACGCATATTATTTTTTTTTTTCACCATCATTCAGGGTCACCATTTTCTATTTAAAAACTTCTTGTTTTGTCCTAGATCGATTCTGGACACATCTTGGTGGATAGCTTGCGCCGTTTCCGGCGGCGTCAGTGTCTGTGTCCACTGTAGCGACGGGTGGGACCGCACCGCGCAGGTGTGCTCCCTGGCGGCGCTGTGTCTGGAGCCCCACTACCGCACCATCAACGGGTACCAGGTGCTGTATACCGAGAAATATTGTATAGCCGTCTCTTTTCCTCGCGCATCCCGCCGTCGGCGGCGGAGAGGGCCGGCCCGGACGTCCCCCTCGCGGGCCCTCTCCGCTGTCTCCTTCTGGTGGATGATTTCCTCGCAGAAGGAGACTACTGCAGTCCAGGATCTGGCGCTGTCAAGCATTGCTTTAACGACGCTGGGCAGCGAGAGATCCCGTCCTATTGCCATGATCATATCATGGCGCTGCCGAGATCACGATGGGCACTCCTCGAGGGTGTGCTGCGCCGTGTCCTCGACAGCGTCACAATGATGGCACGACGGGGTCGCTTTCCTCCGTATGCGCTGCAGGTAGCTGCCAAAGCATCTGTGCCCTGACAGCACCTGCACCAGACGGAAGGTCAGCGGCCCATGCCTCCTCTCATTCGATTGGCTGAGCAGCGCCTTCAGGGTCCTAGTCCCAAACTGTTGTGACCCTAGCTCCTCGGTCCCATACCCATCAATGACCCGCTATTGCGAAAGTTTCACTGAGCACGTACCAATATCGAATTCGTTACGTTTGCGAGTATGAAATGTCATTGTCAAATTTTGTTTGGAAAGTTTAACAACAGCGCCACAACGGGCGTTAGCACCCACCAATGTGAACTGTTCCCGCGTGGTGGACTATGGCCCAATCTCCCTATTTCATCCATAGCAAAGCAAATGCCCCAGCAGTAGCGATATTAATAGGCTGATGATGGTGATGTTTAGAAATTAGTAACTCTTGTAAATTAGCAGCGACGTAGTAAACAAAATGTAGGTAGACCGTTTTACTGAAACCTCGCCTGTGGGGTACAGGTAGGGACACGATATCGAATAGAAAGTATCGATACTGTACTCATGAGTAGTATCGGTAAAAAAGTATCGTACTCGTGAAAGTATCGAAACAAAAGTATCGATACTTCAAAGTATCGAGTACATTTCATAGGGCCTTATCGGAGCCTCTGTGGCCTGATGAGCAACCCCCCCCCCCTCCCCCCGTGTTAAAATTGAAAGAAAAACAATCGAATATTATTATAGTACGTATAATCAAATACAAAAAAAGGACATGTAAATTCACAAATTGCTATATTATATAATGAAAAGAAAATGGCTGTGATTTCTGACACTAAAAAAGTGATCATTAATATTACATTCATAATTAAAATGTTAATTAAAAAGATCGAAATCTTAAACAATTTAAAAGTATGAATCTTTTCAGATTTGTTTCAAATTAAACTTACTTTTCTTGAATTTTAATCATTAAAAAACATTATACCCACTTATGTTAACTTGAATCTGACACGTAGTTAACGGCTGCCATTGGCATGCTTCACTCAAGATTATAATTATAGAAGAGGTTACGTCCGTCTTTTATTCAGGTGGTTTCAAATAGGTATACACAGCACAGACAGAATAATAGTGTTACACTTGAATAAATCAATTACAGTCAAGCGAAAAGCACAATAAACGGCGAATCAATCACAGTTCCAACAATATGGTCGCTAAATAAATAACTATGAAACAAAACAAAGCGCAAAATAAACACAGTCACAGATTGGAAAGAATTTGAATATATCAGTTACTGACTTTATAACAACGCAATAGGGCATTTGACAGTATTAAAAATAAAGTGCCAAAATAACGAAAAACATATTAGTTTTTTAACTATTGTCACGTGATCCAAAACGCTTGGGATTGGCGGAGCCTAAAATGACGTAACACGCAAGTAAACTTCCGGTTAAAGTGACATTACATTGTATCGTTTGACGTTTTAATAACAGTCGTGTGACGTCACACACTAGTAAGACGCCATATTGTCCAGAGAAACGTTTTCGCGACAACTTGAAAATGGGGTTTTTGATTTGGTTATTTTTACTAAAATACACGACAGAATGATGAATATCCTTTTTTTACGGACTCCATAAACATTAGTCAATATCGTGAGATCGTTGCGTAAAACTTGTCAAATACCCTATGGATCGTTTTAGAAGGTAAGTTTGCTATGATTTAACAAGATGGCGTTGCCATCAATATGAGGCGCTTATCCAAATTTTTAAAGGTATCGATACTTGCCAAAAAGTACTCATTTAGTAAAAGTATCGAATACAAAGTATCGAGTACAAAAGTATCGGTATCGAAAGGAAAAGTACTCGATACCACAAAGTATCGATACTTTTTTCGTGTCCCTAGGTACAGGTTGAGGAAAAACCTCGCTTGAGGGAGGACGAGAACGGGACCCGTGAGAGGTGCGGGCGACGGGCACTTGTAATTTTGACAAGAATGTGCCCCGTTTTCGTCGTCCCCCACACCCTTTACCCCTCAGGCGAGGACTCAGTTAAGCGGTCTACCTATACCTACAGTTTGTTTACTGCGCAGCAACTTAACAGCCGCCATTAAGTTTTCATTGTATTCTAACCAGTTATCATATTGCATGTTAAATAATTTGTTATTATTTTAGGCGTTGATCGAGAAAGACTGGCTGTCGTTCGGTCACAAGTTCACAGCTAGATGCGGGCATATCGCGTGCGACGGCCGCGAGAGGTCGCCAGTATTCACTCAGCTTCTGGACTGCACGTGGCAGCTGCTGCGACAGAGGCCTGAGGTGATGTATACTTAAATGACTATTTATATAATTATACAAAATTTATTTATTATTTTTATATACAGGGTGTAAAAAATCCTTTAACGAATTCGAAGGCCACATATTTTCCACGTCATGACGATAATTTTTTGCTTCTGGACCATAGCTGGGAAATTTATGGTTATGGAGATATTGAATGTCAAAGTCACATTTTTTTTCAAGATTTTTACATTAATATTTTCAAAACGTTATTTAGAAACTTTTTATCGACGCACTTACACACACGCATACACATGCACATTCTTTGCGTAGCGCCAAAGAAGCGCCGCGCTGTACATTGCGTACTGGAAAAAAAAAATAACTTAAAAGTACAAACTATTCCCACGTATAATATTTTGTAATATTACTTGTTTGGGTGTACAGAATGCGTAGTTTTAGTCTTTGTCATAGGATTTTTTACACCCTGTATATAAAAGGGCATATTTCCCATGGCATGGTTTAGCCATGAATAAGGAATGAGTTTATCGATTTCATCTATCTTATTTTAGTTTCCTAATCAAAAAGAAATTACACGACAAAGATTAAATTACTTTTTAAGTTTTACAGAAAAAGAAAGTAAGTTGCGCTGAAAATTGGTAAATATAAGAACACTTATTATGCAACTCTATCCGACAGGTGACACAGGTCTTATAAATAAATGAACACCGGCTGCACGCACGAAAAAGTGTCACGTTCCGTGGTGTTTGAGGTGAAGTCGAGGGCCCCTGACTGCCCTTACCCAGGAAATATTTATTTATTATTATTATAAGATAGGACAACATCTGTTGGAAGCGCTAATTTGTTTAATATAAGACGGCCTGCTTGGCCTAGCGGTTGGTTTTAGCGAGTGTTTTTGAAAAATATGTTCTATAATACCTAGTATATTTTTTGTGTTGCAATAATCGTAAACATCATTGGCAGGCGTTCCAATTCAACGAACGGTTCTTGCTGACTCTGCATGAACACGCGCACGCGTGTCAGTACGGAACCTTCGTAGGGAACTGCCAGAAGGATCGCAGGGATCTCAGGTAATTCAACATTTCAGGGATTTTACGGTTGAAATCGATAATCGATGTATTGTGACATTCGTTATGCCCTAGTCTACGTCAATAAAACTATATGAGTAACTCCTTCTTTACCTACATGTACAATGCGAAGAGATGGCTCTGCCTTGCAACCTAAGAAATACGGTCGCGGTAGCATAATAGGCTAGTTGACTCGTGTCAAATTGCACTATACAAATGTCTATTTCTTATAATTTTTGGTATGAGGAACCTAAATACATCGATTTTACTTCATAAAATTAGAAGATAGCTGTAGTAAATTAATTAAAAAAAAATTTTTTTAGTCTATGCTTTTTAAACACTATAAACGCCATGATTGTGACGACACAAAAATTGTAAACAACTAAAAGTCATTGTCGTGTTACTGTGGTGTCTTTTGTCGGACTAAAATATATCTAAAAACTCTAATATCTTGTAGAAAAATTTCCGTTTATTGATTTTGTTGACTAAATTAATTTTGGACGCCGAATTTGTGAAAGCAGAAAGACAAAACTCTTCGACTTAGTAGGTACATTCATAACCTTAAAAATTGTATTTTTAATCTTTAAATCTTAATCAATGAGTACTTACATTGAAGTGATCTTTGCTAAAAGAAATAACTCTCAGGCGATAAAATTACAGGATTTAGCAAGTTTTAAACACGTGGTTATGTGTAGGTATTTGTATTTCTCTTGGCAATTTACACTACAACTTTTCTGGAGTCTTTAACGATGTGTTTCTACATTCTCGCATAATACAATCATGATAATTACTATATGTATCATGAAATCTATTAGAAATCATGGTTTTATAATATAAATTCAGATTATTTCCTACGTGCTTCCAAATGTTTGTTTACAATTTTGTTGCCGTCATAGCATAGATAAATCTATAGACTATGGCCGGTAGCGCTTTTGTATGTCCATGAAAAAGCTATTTTAAAATTAAAGTTTTGTAGCTTTCTAGGTCAAAAATAAATACAATATTTTTTTCGGTCTAATAGAACAATTATTAACCATTTAAAACATATTTCCAAAAAGTGTCACCTAGCCTATTGGTTAGTGCATCCGCCTGGAGAGCGGAGGGTGCGGGTTCGAGTCCCGTCTGCTTCTTTTCTTTAGATTTTAACATCTAGCAGTTAAATACTCAATAAATAATTTACTCACATGTATTTTATAATGTTTACACCTTGTCTATATTTTTGTTCACACTAATAATACATGTATACACTTTTTTATAAAACTTGTTAATAAACAAAATATGCGAAGAAAATAGGTGCTTTATACTTACTTATATTATATAGATACTTATTTTCTATACAGTTAAAAGAAAAAATGTTTAAAACAGCCTCATTACATTTATTACAAGTATTCTGCAAGTTTTGTTTAAAATTAGTATACAACTTTGGTTTAAACGAGCTGTTTAGTTTTCGCAAATTTATAATATGTAGTTTCTTCATCATTAGCTTATTAATGTCCATACTGCTGGGGCACAGGCTTTCGCTATGGATGAAATAAGGGATTGGGCCATGACCCACAACGCGGGCCCAGTGCGGATTGGTGGGTGCTGACGACTACAGATGCAGTGGTGACCAACGGCTTAACATGCCTTCTGAAACAGGAAGGAGCTCGTAATAACAAATTTTTGGTCACCCAACCAATGACCGACCACTGCAAAAGTTGCTTAACTTCACCGAACGCGCTAACCACTTGGGCCATCGAGCTCCTCTAAATTATAATAACTACATTCTTCTAATCGCGTTAATTTATTCTGAATATACCTACAGTGTTTCTTAATATCGTGTTACTTTCTTCGTTTACAGATTGTCGGAACGAACGTTCTCGCTATGGGGTTACATGGCGAACCATTTGAACGAGTACAAAAACCCACTGTACAACCCGAAAGCGCATCCCGACGTGTTGAAACCTGACCTTAGCGCCCAGAGCATAAGGTATTTCATTAAAAACATACATTTATGTATGTTATTAATTTATTTTATACATTTATAAATGTATCTACATAATTATGAAAACTTTTCACAGGTTTATAACTTGTGCGATTTGTATTGACAAAAGTTATATATATATTATGAGACGAATTCACATCATATTTAATTAAATTATTTTAATGTTGTCACACTGGTTTGACACAAATTAAATATTTTTAATTATTGTTTAATTTCATAACAACTTTTCTTAACACTCGTCTGCGTTTCTATTTAATATTTTGCATAGCTGCGATATCGATTACTTATCAACGCAATCTTTTATAAATTTTGGTCCTTCGAGCCGCATTTTTTGTAACTTTCTGACTCCAGTGAGTTTAATCGTCTAACGAGACTGCCGTCGCTATCGCTTACGATTTCATTTTGTTATTCCTGACCGCCGAAGGTTTTCAAATATATCACGCTCATTTTCTCTAATACTGTTGTATTCCCAATGCAAAAATAAAGGCGCGGTGCATTTAAAAACTTTCGGCGGTCATAAATAACAAAATGAATTCGTAAGTGATAGCGAAAGCCATAGCAATCCTGTAAGGCGATGGGCACCCTGATATAGTAATTAGTAAAATTGCTACCCTACCCCTTATTTTTTGTGAGCCCTGATATTTTCACATTTGCAAGTACCGTGATCATGGGAAAACTACAGTAATTTCGGGTAAGATGATCCGAATAATCGGGGATTCGCAAAAAACATAAACGACTAGAATGACCTTTTCCAGATTTATAAAAACGTATATTAACTTTGCATTCGGCTTGCGATCGTAAAAGTTAAGCAACTATCGCAATGGTCGGTCATTGGATGGGTGACCTAAAATTTATTATTTCTCTCGAGCTTCTCGTTTAGCCGTTGGTCCCGGCCGCATCTGTAGTCGTTAACGCCCACCAATGCGCACTGGGCTCGAGTGGTGGGTCACGGCAAATCTCCCTATTCTATCTGTAGGGAAGGCCCGTGAGGACATTAATAAGCTGGTGATGATGAATGAATGATCACTTCATTGTACACCACCATCAAGCCGGTGCTAACGATTGCAGCTTCCGCAAGCTTAACGTGCCTTCCGAAGCATGGAGGAGCCCGTGATAATATATTTTTGGTCACCCATCCATAACCGACCATAGCAAATGTTGCTTAACTTCCACAATCTACTGGCGCCATCGACTAATTCATCCGTTCGTTGTTAAAAGATTTTGGCGCGGAATGTACTGTCGCCACGAACACGGAGTTCATCCGCGAGAGCCGCTCGCAGATTTATTACCGGCTGCTGTGGAACACGCTACCGCGTTAGACCACCATATCAACTATCTGGCCAAGGTAAACATAAAAAAAAACTATCAATTTCCATGTGTACTTTAAACGGGGCCGGATTTATGGTAGAGCTCTTCTCTTGAGGAGGCCCCTAAACCATATTCCCGTTCGAATGTGTTTTTTTTATATAAATAATCTGATTACTTTGTTTAACAGTTTATTCTTATTATATGTACACTATTCCTATTATATTTTATTCAGAATATATTTATTTATAATTGTAGTAATTTCATTGTATCGTGCTTAAATTTTTGTTATTATATACCTTATATTCTATTCTTATGCTGTTCAGTATTTTTCTTTTGAATTGTTTAATCTTTCCTACGATTCAATTTACTCTCCCTCTTCATTGGTGTTGCGAGCCACAACCTTTCCTCTCTCACCTTTATGCCCCGGGATAGAATGATTCCATGCGTGTATCAGGTTGGCCTACGTAAAGGGAGGTTTCAAAATTTAAATTTTGCTACCTCTACTTGATTTAGCCTTCCCGATATCTCGAAAACGTGTTCGAATGTGGTTAAGGGGCATCCACAAGAGGTTTTTTACCGGCCCTAGCTTCTATTGCTTTCAGCCGTGCTCCACAAGAGAGGGGCCGCGACAACAGAGAATAAAATAACCTTATTTTGACGGGTCGGCAACCAGGGGAGAGCAGTCTCCATGCCTTTGTTGCCCCAGGTCCTCAACACTCCTAAATCCGGCCCGGACTTTAAATGTAGTTTTTGAAAAGTTTCATTTCCTATTGATCATGTTAAGCCGGGTCTTCAGAGTGTGTTGTGCCCTACACTATCAACATCAACATTCAACAAAATCGTCTACACAAAACTTTCTTATTTTAAAACACTAAACATTGCCTTATACGCGTCTGAAATTACCATGTAAATGTGTCATTTTTTTGGAAGATATTGGCTCCTAATCTTATATTTTTAGGAGACAGGGTCCCTTCTGTTTTGCATTCTGGAATTTATCCAATAAAGATTTATTATTAAAAAAAATATTTGTTTGCATCTTTGAGAGCCCGATGGAAATCACGTACATAAATTTTCCCCGAGCGGGTCAAGGGTCATGGTATTGTTTCATCGGCCATTTTTTGACAACTCCTCTCTAGGGACTCCTATCTAAACCTACGCTCTGAGTACAACTTTTTATTGTGACATAATGTACGAAACTTTTGTCAAATTTGAGATTTGTTGCACCTAGATCGTAGTTTTTGAACGTATCCCTGTGTTTTGTGTATGACAGCCACGTGAGCAGTAGACGGTTTGTGTAGCTATAAACATATTTCAGAAACAAAGTTTTGTGTATATGTTTTTGTTGAATGTTTTCATAAAACCTTTTGCTGGGGGCCCAGCTGTCGCGATTTACTGCTGTCAAATTTAGTTAGCCAAATACGAATAGCCATGTGAAACGTTCTAGCATAATCAAATGCAATTAATTACTTGTTCCATAAGAGGATAACTACGTTCAAGAACCTTCTGTCGGGTAGAAAGTCGTCCAAGAACAAAGACACGACAGTCGTCAACTACCAAAACGGGAACATCGCCGCTGTGGGCATCGAGAGCAGTATCGAGTCGCTGCAGATCGACAACAAGTCAGTATTGATAAATTATTTATGCATATGTTTTTATTTCTTAATTATTTAACTGCTAGATGTTTTCATAATACTTGTAAAGGTATTGACATTGTGGGTTACCTACAATGCGAGGAGATGACGCTGCCTCGCAGCCTAAGGCTAGAGAAAATTCGACACGGCCGTCAGGGCCGCGGTAGCATATTGGTCAGTGCAGTCGCCCGGATAGCGAAAAGTGGGGGTTCGAGTGGATTTTTTTATAGTAAAACTTCTTTTATATATTTATATGCATATTTTATAACATTGGCATCTCATTTTGCTGTACAATGGATAGGCCATTAAAGGCCAAAGAAATCTTAGTACATAGTACAGTACCCGGCCATTTATAAGTCCCATCGAGCTTTAGAAAGAGATACTCGGCTAGCTTCGGCTTCGTATAGCACCGTCTCTGTCACCCTTGTCAAACTGACCTTTAGTCGCCGACTTGTCCTTGTCAGTCGTAGTTCAACGTGGCTAAAGAGCAGTCGCGCTCTTCTTAAAATATATATATTGAAAGAAAGAAAATAAAATATGGATGATGATGGCAGTAATTATTTTATGAGAGCCTTCGCATATCTATTAGTTTTTTGTGTTTTGTTATTTGGTTGGAAAAAAAAATAGTTTTTCATTAAAATAAATAAATTAACATACATAGTACATATATGTTGTTTTTGTATTGATTTCTAAAAAAAAAACTTAAAAAAAGGTTTAGCAGCTCTTAATAGATACCAGACTGTAAGTGTTTAGTGTGACAGAGATGACACTCTACAAAGCCGAAGGTAGCCAAAGCTAGCCGAGTATCTCTCTCTAAATCACGATGCGACTTACAAATGGCTTGGTACTGTACTAGGTATCGAGCCAAAAGATGTTAATGATGTTTATTTTTATTATAATGTTTCATCTATGTGATACATATATGTTAAAAATTTTAATATGTTGACTTTTTCTGTTCCAAATATAAGATTATTTCATTTATTTTGTAATGTTTGTCACTTATAACGGTAGAATATTTGATCAATAAAGCCAACATTATCACCAAATTATATATACCTTGATCTATGAAATCTTGGGGTATAAAATAGAGAGAGATGCATGTTTAATTTTTTGTTAGTTTTCAAATCTTTAAATAACCAGTCGGCTTATTCGCAAAATTTTCTGGCATTTACAGTGTGTAACTAAAGAGAAAATTGCATGTCTATCGATGCTTATCAGAACAAGTATCTTATAGTGGCGTTATAACAAAGCCGTAGTGGATCACTTAATAGCTTGGTGATTATTATTTCCATCTGTCAAAAGCAGGTATCAAAAAGGCCTACAAATTTTTCATGAAACTTCAAATGAACCTAATATGAAATGTAATGTATGGATGATGATGTAATTGTCTTTACATCATCATTCATACATTATTTACTTACTAATTTTATAAATGCGGTACAGTGTCCGTACCCGCAGTAGTTATTTTATAAATAAGTATTGCTGGAATCTAAGTATGTAAACATTGTACAGATTGCTATACGAGTCTGGGGCCACTCTGTCCGAACTGGAGTGCGCAAACCATGACCACCCTCTCAAAGATGCGCGCGTGCCAATCAAACCGACCAAGATACCGCTTATCACTGAGGTAAGAAGGTTATTTTTATTTTTGAATTTATACTTCTTTAGGCACGTTATGAAAAAATGTTGAGAGTGAAATTTTAAGATGCGCGCGCATCACTGTAACACAAAAGTAACACCATGAAGTTGACCGCTAAACAGCACGTTAAGTCTCGAAAAAAGCTACCAACAAAATAGAAATAGAATCTCTATCAGTCGCGCACGTTGGCACGCTTGTCGCCTCTGATCACTGTTTTCATATTTTTAATATTTATCCACATGTTTCTAGTTTCTATATTCACAACACATGTTTAAGTTTCATTTAAGTGCTAGTGATATATTATGTGCTAATAAATTATATTCAGTAGTGATTTTGATTAATTTATTTAATTTTTCAAATAAAAACTAAACTTGATTGACTGTGTTGACTATCCTTTTCCAGTCCTAATATTTTTTTATTGTGATTAATTATTTACATGCAATTAAAAATATTTTTTAATTATGCCAAAGAAGTATAACTTCGCACGCGCGTACATCAGTAAACGCGCCCATTTTTTATTTATATTAAAAATATCCTTTGCTGATTCTGAAAAGAAGATCTCACCCCCACTAGAGACGACATACAAGGGCACCAGCTGGTGCCAAGCTTATGCAGTAATACTACATAATTAAGCGTGTGACGCCCCTCAACGATATAAGTTTGCACTTATTTTCCGCCCGTGACGTCACACTTACGTGTCCAATCACAACGCGGCTTAACCCTCCGCACGCCGCCAACTCATGCGATTCATTTTGATACAAAATTTAAGCAATGCATAACGTTTTCTATTGGGGGTGGTCTGTGCAAAAATTATAAAGATTGTGCTTCAATAATGAACATTTTAAGCGCCGAAACTGTTTAAACTATTTATTTTATTTTGACGACCAAGCACACACATTCAAAAGAAATTTTGCATGTGCTTGATTGTGTTAAAGATGCTGCCATATATTGCTAGATGTTTAAATTGCATGAAAATATTACTAGAGAACATTATTTTTCTAGTGAAATCTTTTTTAAATATTTCCAACACCCACACTAATTAGCCTAGCCCCAAAGTAAACACTGTAAGGCTTGTGTTATGGGATACTTGGGTAACGGATAGAATACATGTACTGTACATTTTTAAATATATAGAAATATATATTAAACATTATATACATTATAACATTATATATAGAAATACATATTAAACATCCATGACTGGAGTACAAATTCTCGTATCTATCACACAAACATCTGCCCCTACCGGCATGAAACCCGGCGTATAAACCACTCGGCCACGGAGGTAGTCAATGCGTCAAGTTGTCTTTAGATTTAAACATCCAGCAGTTAGATGCTTAAACAAATTAAAATATAATATATTATAACTGTCATTTTCAGAAGGGCGACGAGTCCATACCGGCCAGCATGACTCAGCTAGAGGAAGAGATGAACTCTGTGGCGCTCGATTGGAGTAGCATCAAGAATGTGACAGAATGTAGCTGCTCCACACCATTGGAACATTTCAGCCGCAAGGTAAGATAAAGTAGTGTTTAATAGGGATTCAATGTGTTTTCTCACTGATGAGTTATTTATACGTAGGAGAGCTACAAATAACAAAGTTGATATCGAACATAATTCGGTATAAATAAATCATCAAACAATACTTTTAGCTTCCTAATTGTCTAATAACATTTCGTTATTATATGTGTCAATCTAGGCGTTGAACTACATATACGCCAAATTTCTTTCGAAACCCTTAAACATTTTTACTATGAAAGAGTAACTAAAGCCTGGTCTCCAGCAAAAGTTATTGAGAACAACAAAAACACATACACAAAACTTTGTTTCTCAAACATGTTTCTCTACACACGCCGTCTACTGCACACGTGGCTGTCGTACACAAAATAGACAGGACGGCGTTCAAACTCCACAGGTGTTAAACAACGATCCAGGTGCAACATATTTCAGGCAAAAGTTTCGTCCGTTTTATGTCAAAATTGAAACGTCAGAGTGAAAAGTTGTACTCGGAGCGTAGGTTTGGAACGGAGGCCCCGCTAGCGAATTGTCAACATAGAGGTATAAGGATAGAGTGGGGAAGGCGGCTCTAAAAGTCCGTCTAGTAGTAAGAGAAAGAAGATGAGAAACCGCTAGCTGTCTCTCTCTCTTGTGACGCATGGCATCCAATGGCATCACATCAAAATAGTAAGATGCTTACGATTGCCATGCGTATGCTCGATTAGAGAGAGAAAGCTAGCGGTCTCTCATCTCTTTTCTCTTTCTATTAGAGGGACACTTTCACTTGTAGTAGAGTCTATATCTCCCCTACTCTATTCTTATACCTCTATGGTTGTCAAAAAAATGGCCGGTGAAACAATACCATGCCTCGACCCGCATAGGGAGGGTATTTGTATACGTGTTTTCTATCGGGCTCGGAACGCAAAAACTTTGTTGATGCAAACAAATATGTGTAGCGAAATAAAGTTTAGTGTAGACGATTTTGTTGAATGTAACTGATATGTTTTTATTGATTGAGTAGGGAAAAACACGCCCTAGAGACTCGGCTCTGCAAAAACATTCGTCAAAACTTTCGCGTTTATAATATTAGTAAAGTATGGGCATATATTTTTCTTGACTTAAAACCAAATTTGATAACAGTTTGCCGTTTTTATTCCGAATAGAACAGAAAAGGATGCATTTTTGTCATTTTCAGTTTTAGAGAATCATGTTAGAATCGTGCCCAGATGACGGGGGTGTGATGGACATCAGGGTTGCCAAGCGTAGATTTTTTTTCCTCGTACTTATGCAGCTAAAAATCTCGTATTCTGGCTTTCGAACCTCGTACACGATTTGCGCCCCCCTCCCCCATACCCCCATGATTATTAAATCTAATTGATATATAGGCTAACGGTTCAACTAACCATAGATTGTAAAAAAATCTTTTTCCAGTAAAATTTTCTTTCGATTCAAACATCTAGCAGTTAAATGCTTTAAATAAAAATTATTATAACCATAGACAGGTTTGGATACTTACGATTTATGCACCAACATGTTGCATACAACGAAAAATTGTGTTATAAATTTATCTGGCATAATTTTGGTTAAGTCGCGGCACGAAACTCCAGCGCTGACCGCTTTTGCGCAGAAGTAAAGATTACGATGTCACGGGGGGAAACGAGTCGTATCCATGCGCAGCTATCCCCTCCGCGTTTTATTTATTTATTTTATAATAGCTCATGTACATTATTTATTATAAGGTCCACCATCATTGGGGTGTTGTAACAAAATTGAGCTCAACATTATATACATTAATTTTACGGCGCAAAAATGCTGTAGGTTAATTCATATTAAATGAAATCAGGTCCAACCAAATTTAAACTAAATCAATGCGATTTTGATTTTGTTCAGCGCTAGAGTTACGTGCCACGACCTTTACGTATAATTGTATGAGATGTGTAGTGGGAAGGCTTGAAATCTCGTACGGTTGGCACCTCTGGTGGACAAACGGGCTGATTCTGTCGATTTGTTGGTGGCAGCACCACTGCTGGGGCTGCGGGCGGTGTGTATGCACTCGTTGCGTGACCCGGCGTTGGCCGCTGCCTGCGCTCGCGTCGCCCCGCACTGCCCCGCTCTGCGCCGCGTGCGCCCCGCAAGTGCGTACTATCATCATCATCAGCCTATTAATGTCCCCACTGCTGGGGCACAGGCCTTCCCTATGGATGGAATAGGGAGATTGGACCATGACCCACCAGGCGGGCCTAGTGCGGATTGGCGGGTGCTAACGACTGCAGATGCAGCCGGGACCAATGGCTTAACGTGCCTTCCGAAGCACGGAGGAACTCGAGATTGAAGATTTTTGGTCACCCATCCAATGACCGACTACTACGAATGTTGCTTAACTTCAACGATCGCAGCCGAACGCGCTGACCACCTGCCCTATCGAGGCACTATCTAACTATCTTCGCGTTTTGACTTTATCACCACTTAACATCAGGTGGGGTAAAGTCATTTGCCTACCTGGCTTTAAGAAAAACGAGTGTGCTTATGACCACACGACTGAAGTGAAACTTCTTTAGCTCCTTCTGTTTGTATATATGTGTGTGTGTGTACAATATATACATGTATGTACATATACATATTTAATTTACTAGCTATAGAGAAAGAGAGAAAGAAAATGTGCGCGCGCACTGCTTTCTTTTGCTTATATCCCCCACTCAACTTCCGTTCGCCTCGCCCGGAGACACTTTTCGTAACGCGTAACGCATTCGCCAGCTTACCCCAAAGTCAAGCGTGCGTAAATAAGTTTCACTTAAAAAAAAGTGTTGGGATGGTGGTTCGAAATTATATGCCAGTTGACGCTTGACAGATCTTTATTCACCACACATATCACACATTTCATCATAAACACACAATATTACAGTCACTTTACACTATGCAAGTTTTGAAACAATCGATTGATTGATTTTGTATCCATTCCGAAGTCGCTGTTGTAAATCAACTGTCCACTGTGCTGCGCCGAACGCGCTTATATACGCTAAGAAAGTCTAGAAAAGTCCAACGTAATTGAAAGCTACCTAGAACCCGCGAGTACGTAGTACCTACTTATACGTAGGTAATGCGCATAAGTTATAAACAAGTGCAGAAGTCGTTGCACTTTCTCCCTGACGCCGTTTCGCATAAGGCTCATATTAGACTGAGCCGCTATACTCGACCTTTATCGCTATCATTCACGTCACGACCCGCTGTGTTCTGGTAAAATTTGTCTCTAGTATTTTCGCGGTTGTGGTTCGAGAGCGTTTGTGACAATACATTTGGACCCGGGCTGAATTTTCGGATTGGAGGGCCAATCCCTCGAGCCTCTACGAAGATCGCCATCGACCCACACCAATCACACTTCACACCCACACACGTCTCTTCTTCATTCTTTTATTATAAGTTGCCGCGCGCAGTCCCACTCTGAGCCGCGTGCGACCCGCAAGTGCAGGAGCGGATTAACGTAGGGGTTTGGGGGGACTAGAGCCCCGGGCCCCCGTCATCCCATGAAATAGCGAAAATAAAAGTTTGACCTGTACATGTCCCTTATCCCTCCCTTCTATATAGGAAAAAGCTCTTGCCAATAATCCAATAAATACAGTTGCTTAGAGAGTAACATAACGTGTTTTACTAGCTAACATTCCCATTAATGCATATTATGCATAAATGCGGAATTTAGAACAATTGGGAATCAGATGAATTTTCATATCCTTAAATGGGATCAATTCCCGCATCAATTTCAGCCCCGAGCCCCACCATTTTTAAATCCGCTCCTGTGCAAGTGTGTACTCGCCAACTATATTAACAATACAATACCATACGATATTGCCCATACAAAACGATACTAATATAAATACATTAGATCTCCAGTCCTTCGAGCTTCTACGAAGATCACCGTCGACCCACACCCATCACATTTATCACCCTCACTCGTCTCTTCTTATTTTTTTTTATTATAAGTAACTGCCAGCACTCGCATCGCCCCGCGCATTTGTAAAACAAAAATGTATTTAAACATTGTCGTCACCCAAAAACTGATTTAGATTTCTATAAAATTTGCCACACAGATAATTTATAATTCGACTTTTAAACAGGTTATAAATACTAAGTTTTTTCTAACAGAAGCTGATATTAAAACAAATATCTTTTACGCCCACAGGCAAACATTAGCTGAAGTGTCTGTCACACTAGCGCCATCTTCTGCGGCAAGTACAACAAACTTGCTTTTGCATTCCATACAAAACTATAAGCAGTATAGGAGTCAAAACTCCTAAAGCAGATCAGAAGCAGTTTGCAAAAAGGCTCAACGCTGTATAACTGAATGGTTGAAATTTCAAAAGAAGCTATCAATAGTCTGAAATGTTATTTATATAAAATGTGTATGTATATATATAGAGATTACTCGTAATGCTGTCAGTCCTGTCCTTACCTCCACCTTACAGAAGATACAGTACAACAACACTACCTTTTGTTGGTGTTGTGTTTCTGTCAGTGAATATGGTTCTAGGGCTTCACGGGGTAGGAAATGGGGTCAGGGTAGGAGACGGCGCGAGTGATAGCTGGTATCGCAAGCGTCTATAGGCTACGGTGGTCGCTTAACATTAGGCGGGCAAATGCTTGTTAAACAAGGTTAATTTTAAAACACCAACAACCTCTAACATACTACCTATCATCAGGAACAACTTTTATTATGGGACCAGCGCTGAAATCGCGAAAAACAAAATCGGCTGTTTCTTACAAATGTGCATCAGCTTATCGACCGAAATGTTTGAAACAGCTGTTTTTTTTTCGCGATTTCAGAGTTGGTCCCATAATAAAAGTTGTTCCTGTCGATGGGTAGAATCACCCACTAAGAGGTTGTTGGTGTTTTAAAATTAATTAAATCTCCCTCCCTTCCCTTTATATCATGCACTATGTCTATAGGGAATGAAATTAAAAGACTACTGACAAATTTACGAATAGCCATGTCTAATGCCAGCATTACTTGTGGTGGGTTGCCATTTCTGCATTTGCAGAACGACGCTTTTTTAAATAATAAGATTGACAAATTGCTAATTACACTTGATTGATGTTAAGTTGCGGTAGAATCAAGACGCGAAAATAGCCGTTGTGTCGATGTATAATCTTTCCAGGCTTCCGGGATAATACATAACACATTATAATGTAGAAATGGCCGTCAGCACGCATAATACTTGTCTCCATCATTGTGGTATTGATAAAACCGCATAATATTATTATAAATATAAGAGTCAAGTCGGAATCTATGTTGTTGGTGTACCGTAAAGGAGCTAATTCATAAAAAACCCTGTTGAAATTTTCGCATCTGAGCCCGGAAGTTTAATTCTGACATAATCAATGCTTTTATTTTACCTCCCCAGTCTGTCATTTCTTAATGCATGCAAAAAGACAAATTATGTATACTTATTTTTTTGGGGTTCCATACGCACATCTTGACTCCTTAAGACTGGTTTTGTTTATAAATATAAAAATGTGTTGTATAATAAATAGATAAATGAATTAGCCAGTCAGTCTATTAATTGGCGGGGATTTAGTTTAATGTTATGTTTTTTTAAATGTTGTTAATTGCGAACATCAGAACATTGTTTTATTCTCCTATAGGAAACTAATGTGGATGTAAATAAAATGTGATGTTAGTTTTAAGTAGACATAGAAGTTCAAAATGTAAATTTAAATATAATATAATATGTGTATATCGGAGTTTGGTATTTGTTAAATCTTTATTTTCAAATTGAAAATAAATCTCTTTAAATCTTATACCACAACAAATAAACTGTAATCTGTAAAAATGAATTCTATCGTTAAGAGCCCTTTCACATTGTTTGCAAAATATCGTAATGCCGAGCTGAGCGCCTCGTTTACCCCCTTAGAAAAGATTTTGCCTATTTCCAATAGAAGTAAACAGTACACAACAGATTTATTCTTCCCATTGTAAGTTAATGTAAATTATTTGCAAATATTATTTTCCTTTTTTTGTACTGATCATTCTACTGCAGCTAGTTTACGGGAAAAACCATAATATGCACAACTTCAAACGCCTCAATCTCTCAATAATGTTCAATAAATTAGATCAAATTAATTACTACGACCTCAGAATAATGTTTTTGTTGTTACATAATGTATTAGAATTTTGACTTTCCATCTCATTAATTATCAAAAAAAAAACATCTAACCTCCGTAAGTTTTCCCAAAAAATAATGCAGGTTTACCTCGTATTTTGATATTGAATTTATCTTTTTTTTTTTTATAGAATTACTATCAAAAACTTTCATAAAACTAGTTTGCCATCATTGAACTACTGAAATATGTATATTTATCGTATATATTTATAATTAGTTCATTAATAATTATTTTATAAGACTCTGAACATCACCCGTAAAATTATACTAGTGCAAATCTACCTACGCACCGAACAGTACGGCAGCGGCGCAATTTTGCAAAAAGGCTTTTAAATTTAATAATCGCTTGTTACTGATTTTATTGCAGGTATAAAAAAACCTAGGTAGCTAATAGTTGTTCCAATTAAATTGTGCAGTAAAGTTATTAGTATCAATTGTAACCGTTAACATTAGGCATCGAGAAGTGAGAATGTTAAAATTATTTTTTATATTTGCTGTCACCACAAGTGCTGTAAAACACGACGCTTTTAAAGATGGTCGAGATACAATTGAAAAGAATCGATTGGTGGGTATTGATGCTGTACATAATGTCAACATAGACAAGGACACCATAATTACTCGCAACTTGAAGTTAGAAAAGAGAGTTCAGACGAAAAATGGTAATCATTCTATATTGCTCTTATAAGGTAGATATAACATTTCTCTATAAGGTAAAGTATGGACAGAGTTGAGCGCTACGATTTGGGGCCCATTCCAACGATATTAAATACCCTAGATACAACAACACGAACAAAACCGTGGCCGAAACCTGTCCAAAAGGTACGTTGGTTTATCCGCGAAGCTCCGTAAGATGATCGCGGAGTCAAAAACAATATAAGGCATTATTTAAACATTGAAAGTCACCTTTAATTCATACTGTATAAGGTGTTAATTTAAACGTATGTGTCAAAAATTTCTGACATTCGCAATGCAAGTTTGTAAAATTTTACGACATTGCTATGTGCTGAAAAATATTGACCTAATTGCTTTGATCTACGTGCAATTCTGAATGCGCTGTTAGCAATATATCAGGTACGGACCGCGTGGAAAAGAGACAGCTATATTACCGACCATGCATTTGAATATCACAAATATTGGTGTCGATTCTAGCATTATTAATAATAATAATAATAATAATAATAAATCGTTTATTTTCTCATCACAAACATTTTGGCATCGATAACATTTGTTTTTTTTTAAATATATTATTACATTAATGTTTGTGTGAGACTGATGCCCGTGCTAGGTACGATATACCTGTGTTACAGGTCATCAGGCTCCCACCACCTCGAATCGCCAATGTTGGTTAACAAAAAACATGAGTATGAATATAAATTTAACAAAGTTTACATTTTTTTTTTTTTTTAAATTTTAATTGACACAGGTTAAACGGTGTATTTGTATGAAATTCTATGCAGTATGTATGTGTATTTGGTGTGAGTGTGAGTGTGCGTGCTTGTGTATGTAAACGTGAGCGTGACTTTAATTATGTGTGTGGATGATATGATAAGTGTAAGACAGACAGCTGATATTTTCGCGGTATATCATCCTGAGGTGAGCAATAGGTCCTCTGTTTCGTCATATGTTAGCTTAAGTAGCCATGAGCTTAGTTTTCTTTTACAGTCCCTTTTGGTCATTGAATAGAAGGAAAGGATTGTGTTCAATTTATTGTAAAGGTAGCTACCCATAAAGCAAAAGAATCTTTTTGTGAACTTAGTTTTTAAAGGACGGGTAGGACAAACAGTTCCCTTACGTCGTCTACCATTTAGAGCTTTCCCATCAAAATGAAGCTGAGAGTGCTTACGAAGAACAGTTGATAATATAAAGAGCTGACGGACAGTAAGCACCTCCCAAAGCCTGTAAACTTGACTCGTGGCATGAAGAATTGGGAGTGAAGCACCAACCTTCAGTACAAGCCTTTGCGCTCTTTCCACTTTGATCAGATGTGTTTTTGCAGCTCCTCCCCAAGATGAAATACAATAACTTAAGATTGATTGGCATAAGGCGAGATAAACTGATTTAATAATTTGAAAGTCCGCAACATGGCGAAGAGTTTTAAAAATGTAAATGAGCTTCCTTACTCTACCCGCCAGGAGCTCAATATGGGGATAAAAGCTGAGCACTGAATCAATCATTACACCAAGATATTTAATACTATCTGTCTTTAGAAGTTTAGGGCAAGCGCAATTATTACTAGATAAGCAAGAGTGAACCGTCAGAGAGAGATAATCATGTTGAGTCTGCCGCCCAGAGGAAAAGATAATGAACTTGGTTTTTGTGACATTCAGGGTTAAAAGGTGCCCCGACAACCAGTTAGATACCACATTCAGTCCTTCCTGTGCCCAATCAAAAACCTCTTTTATCGAATCAGCGTGAAACAGTAGAGCAGTGTCATCAGCGAACGCTATTATTTTACTGTTGGAAAGTTTCAGTTGGCATAAATCGTTAATATATATTAAAAACAACGTTGGGCCAAGAACACTGCCCTGAGGAACACCGAAAGTAACAGGTAGCTCCTCGCTAATCCATTTCCCGACTCTAACAAGCTGTGATCGATTGCAAAGATAGTCAGAAAACAATCTAAGAGCTAACCCTCTGATTCCGACGGCTTCAAGTTTTTGAATCAGGATTGGGACAGAGACCGTGTCAAACGCTTTCGCGAGATCAAGGAAAACTGCAATCACCTTTCTCCCCCCATCCAAGTTAGTGGTAACATAATCAGTCAGTTCATGGACAGCATCATCCGTTGATTTACCCGCACGAAATCCAAATTGTGATGAAGATAATAATTTGTGAGATTCGAGGTAACAGATTAATCGCTTGTTCATGATACGCTCCAGAATCTTGGACAGGACAGGCAGCAAAGATATCGGTCTATAGTTGTTGACACAGTCCCTGGCACCACTCTTGTGTATCGGTATGATGAGCGATTTCTTAAAAATGTTCGGAAAGATACCCGTTTCGATACTCAAGTTACAAATGAATGTTATAGGTGTTATCAGAAGGTCCATATAACGTTTGATGAAGCGACCCGAAATCTGATCAACCCCTACTGTGCAGCTTGATTGTAGCCCCTGAATGAGACTCTTCACCTCACTTTCATCCGTGGGAATGAGCACAAAGGACTCGCGAGAGGGATTCAGAGTGATTTTATTTAAGGGAGTACCCTGCATCTTGGCGGCAAGACCTCTTCCGACATTAGCAAAAAATGAATTAACTCTGTTTACGCTACCCTGAGGGTCGTCCTTTGCGATGAGGTCCATGGGGTCATTTCTATCCTGCTTGAAGTGTGTTATATTTTTAATGGTCTCCCAGATCTTCTTACTATTCTTGCTAGCCCTAAGGATTTCCGCTTTATCATGAGCTCGTTTAACCTTTTTAAGTAAAGAATTACAGAAATTTCTGTATCTCTTGTAGGTTGTAACCACAATATCATCTTCGGGATTCCCTTGAGCTCTCTTATGCAGATTATCTCTGTGACGCATACACCGCAGAAGTCCGGGTGTTATCCAGGGTTTGATGACACTTTTACGACAAGAAATATTTATATTATTGCTATTATCCTGAATTGCGTTTTGGAGAGCACT